TACCTGGCTTCTAAAAGTTTTGCGTAAACTGAAAGTTTTCTACCCACCTACTGTCTAGACTGCCACCATCTTCCACTTTAATCATACTTAAGAGAAGTACGGGAGAAATCCAGTGTCTTGGAAATATTAATTAAATGCATTTAGCACATGACAGGAGAGGAGAAAGTCAAGCCTCTCAAAATCACTGAAAAATAATTCTCATGTGGTTGTACACAACCTTTCTAGGTCCCTGGCAGTCTCCTTTTCCAAGAATGGGTCTAGACAAACACCTCATTGCTTGATGGAGTTCTCACACTGTCTGCCTATCGGTAGCTCATGTTGTCAATGACAACAGTTTCTGCTGTCATTTTAGTTTACTGGAGACAGTAGCAGAGAAAGACTCAAGCCAAGTAGATAACCCATTGCAGTAATCTCAAAACTTGGTAGGTGGAGGCAGGATCAATACTTGGAAGATAGCCTTCACCATTCAGTTCAAAGTCAGCATGTACAACCACACAAAGCCCTATCTAAAAAAAAAAAAAAAAAAACAAAAAAAAAAAAAACACCTCCATGCCCCAGGCTATACACAGCATGGCAAGGTGGAGGGGAATACCCTTGTGTTCATTCAAAAGTATATTATGTGTATATTAAAGTCACCAAGTCATTTGCCTTAACTTTGAGCAACTAAAATCTCTCATTCTACCGTCTCTGATGATAGTTTTATTGTTGGCTTGCATAGCAACTAATAAACGTACAAAGATGACCAACCACTCATTACACACTGAAATGCTGTCTTTCCACGTTAATTTTCCCAGTGAAGGAAATCAAAGTGTCACTGATTACAAAAATTATAAATAGCTCACTCTGGCTTAAGAAAAGGTAAGTTATTTTAAGTGTTCTGAATATGCAAACATGGCCACTTAAAGCATAGCCTGCCTTCTATATATAAGACAGAAACACTGTCAAGCGGGTTCCTAATGCAAAACAAGAAGCTAAGAGTCAATACTGCCGTATGCCAAGGAGTAACTGATGACCTGCAAGCTTCACTGTTATCTCAGTCACAAAAAACAGGTGACCACCAGTGTCCGCACCCCCACACTTCAGACCCTGTCCAAAGCGGAGCTTACTAAGTTTCTGAAACTGCGTTTTGAAGCAAATTCTCAATTCATTTTCTTTTTGTTTTTAATTAACTAATTAATTCTGTGTGTGTGTGAGTTTTATTTTATGCCTGAGAGTATATATGTGCATTGCGTGCATGGTTAGTGGCCTTGCAGGAAAGCAGAAGGTATCAGATCCCCCTCAGCTGGAGGGACAGTTGGGCGTGAGGAGAGCTGAACCCAGGTCTTCCGTAAGAGCAGCCAGTGCTCTCAGCTGTGGAGCCCTTGATTTACTTTCCCAAATGACACCAGTCGCTGATAGACTCATCTTCACGAGAAACCACTTTCACTATTTGTCAGTATTATGATGTTCCAGGCACAAGGCTGAGCAAAAAGGCAAGACTTCCTCCAGCAGGGCCTGGAATTTTGTGTGAGCCCTAGTTGCATGTCTGTGCCTCCACCACAGGCTCAGCTGGCAGCACTCCACAGGAGGAGCATCAGAGTTCTGTCACTGAGCATACAGCACCACAGAGGCTGGGAACCAAGACTTTGTTCTCCACTTTGCATTTGGACTTTCAGAACCACTGCAGAGTATTCTGCTGGTTTGCTGAGAAAGAGCTTCCCTATGCACCCCTGACGACCTCAGAGCTCACTACGTAGAGCAGGCTGGCCTTGAACTCAGAGATCCACCTGCCTTTGCCTCCGGAGGGCTGGGATTAAAAGTGTGTAGTACCACACCAGGCCTCTTTCTTAATACTTACAGAATGAAATGGGAACGTGGAATTCACCTCAAACTAGTTGGGGCTGGAAAAAGGTCTAGATGAGTGGGTTTGCTAACGTCTTTTTTATTATCCTACTTGCTAAAGATTTTTACATGATAATGCTGTTGCTGTTGTTTTAGTCTTGTTTGCTTGTTCGGGGCTGCTTCTTTCTTTCTCCTTGTCAGTCTCCTCACTCAAGTTAGCAGTGAACCAGCACATAGTTGAGGCTGACCTCAAGTCCCAACCTTTACCCTCAGACCCTGTGTGCCTGCCTACCAAGGATGAGAAAACAAGACAAAATCCTGTCTTGTTTTTGAAAGAAGAACTTTCAGCCAACACTAGAAACTCTGAGGAATTTCAGGAGGCACAGAAACAAGAGGCCACCCTGCTGCCATCTCTTTAACTTGGTTTTAAATTTTAACTTCTTGTTGTTTCAAATTACTCCAAACTGACGGCAGCAGTGCTGATTTGTCCCTGAGGAATGTGTAAGGACGTGATGGCAGATGTTACAATGAATCCTACAAAAGTATGATGCTAACACTCCATAGACAGTGACACTCATCAAGCTGCAATGTCATAATTACAAATCTCAAACAACAATGTTATGTTATTCACATTTAGAGAGATAGTAACAAATGCAAAACCCAACTTGATAAAAACTAACAGATGAGAATATAACGGATTTTACTTACAACCTCCCAAGAATCTCAGAATTTCTCATTGATGTCAACACCTGGTCAAGGGCTGTGAAGTGTAAACATGCAAGGCTTCCCCTGATACACATCTTGGTGTTTTCAGTTAGGGTCTATGTGGCTCTGGCTGCCCTGGGGCTCAATATGTAGACTGGGTTAGCCTGGAACTCACAGAGATACACCTGCCTCTGTGCCCCTGAGTGCTTGGAATAAAAGCATATACTACCATGCCCAGCACATGGCTTCTTGTAGGGTAAAAAACAAGCAAACAAAACATAAAATCTTGCTTTCTTCACAAGAACACGTGAGTAGTGTTATCACACAAAATCCTTTAAAAGCTAACATCTGCCCATTGTCAACTTAAGGAGTCCTCTAACCCCAAAATCTCATACAAAAACCCAACTACATAAAAATAAAAAATAAAAGCCAAAATAAGACTACTGTAGGGTCAATAGCTATATTCATGCTCTGGAAACTCAGTGACAATCAGAGAGCGAGAAAGCCATCAATGAGTGAGGCATTAGGAAAGTCTTCTTAGAGGCTCTCTTGATGTTAGCCAGGCAAGGATGCCACCCACTTGCTCTTAATCACTGAGCCACCTCTCCAGCCCCTCTGGGGAACTTTTACAGCCATGAAGTTTCCAAGTTTCTAACAATAAACCATCTGGCTAAAACAAAGGCTCATAAAAGCACATATCTAATATGTTTTATGTCCACAGAGATGAAGGGAAACAAACAGGACATGGTCCCCCAACGTTCATAAAAGATGATTATTCTGTGTTGGAAAAGGCTGGGGTGTGTTGCTGCAGCCCCATCTCACGTCTGGGAAACCTGAAGCTGCTAAACATTGTGTCCAGGAATTCTAGACTGTGAACCGGGGATGGAAGGGGCCGTGTGCCTAGTCCCAGCGAAAACTGTTGTTTCGTTTTGTTCTAATCTATCCAAGTCAGAGCAAGAATGCTTCCTTGACAACATACTATCCTTTCAATTAACTGCTATTACACACTTCGGAATTAACACACTGTGCCGGACGTGCAGTCTGTTAGCCAGAGTCCTCTGTTAATAATGCTTCACAACTGGATCTTCCCTGCTAAAAGCCCAAAGCTGACTTAACACGGCACATCACGAACTACACAGATGGCCCTCTACAATCTTTGCGGCTCCGACTGGGAAGCTCATCTGACTTACTAATACACAGGCCTAGTTCAAGATTTAAAAACAAATAGGAAAAACTAAGGGAAATAAAAAACACCAGAGACAGGGACTTTCACATGCGGCATCTACCTGAAAGGCTACAACAATCCAACCCCCAAGCACAGGCTAGTTCCTGCACTGTGCACTGGGCGGCAGACAAGTATGGCAGCAGGGGTGATGTCTTCTGTCCACTAGGGTGCTACACCTCACCAGTAATTCCTCACTTAAGAGACATTGTCACAAGAGTGACCAAAGTAAGGCGCCGGCATCATGCTGTCACACTGTAGAGCTCCTGAGTTATCACTCGTATTTAAATACAACTGTTGGGAACCCAAATTGTCTAAAGGGTTTATGTTTTGTGAGGTACACACCAAAATCACTTTAGAAGTGCCTTTCAGTGATATTCACAAATGCTCTTCTAGTACCTTACTAACCTCAGAATGCGTTTGTTCCTGAGAACTTCATAAACACAGCTTCTATTCTCTGGTAACTATACCTAAATACCTCATCTTTCCCTGCAGATCTGGAGTCCCCACTAAGGAATTCGCTATATAAACGTTCCCATAACCTCCGAGTAAATAAGTACATTCCACCCAGCAGGTAAACAGAGTTCAATTCACCTGACTGCTGCCATCCTCTATCACGACAGAATCACAGATTTTTATTTGCAACTGCCAGATAAATTTCAAAGTCAATTTACGCTGCCCCCTCCCAGGGTTGCTAATGGTCAGATTCAATTAAGCTGTCTGATGACGCCCCCTTTAGAAGGACAAGTATGAGGGGCTTGGAGATCCTAGTGGTTCTGAAACTTCAACCTACGAGGCTATCTTAGAACCCCAAGGAAAGCAGATACCTGATTTGGGTGAAGTTGTCCCACCATTTCTAACAAAAGCTGAATTTTTTTTTTTTGGGGGGGGGGTTATTAAAGAATAAGCCACAGATTCAACTACTCAAAAGTAACATCTAGTCTTATGCATTAATTTTCCCAGAAGAAAAGGGGTTTTATTTTAAATTATAATCAAACCAGCCAACTGATTTTAACACTGAGTTCCCATTAGATATTTCTTTGACAGATCTAAGTATAATCTCTCTGCAGAGAATAACAGTGTCTGCATCTAAGACCAACACTTAGATATGTCAGGCAAGCAGACAATCTCCCAGGTTAAGGAAATGTGAATTCTATGTACTTTATTCTTCTAATAGTTTCAATATAATTTACATTTTCTACCACCTCCAAGTAGTTTAACTACTTTTTTCCCTTCAGAGTCAGACACTTACTGATTTAGATCACCATGTTCTCAATCTTCTGCACAGAACATGCCTCTCGGCTGCACCACTGGAACCGCATGGACACAAAGGACAGAAATTCCATAACCAGACGAAACACCAAATAATCTGTCTGTTGAGAATCACACAAAAGTAAAGCTATTGAGTACCAGAAGAATAATCAAAAACATCCTCTAATCTAACAAAATGGGAGCATATTTACTCTAAACAGCTGATCTCCAAAGTGGCATTTCACAGACTCCAGAGTGCCAACAGCCCTGTGCACTGCTGGACAGTACATTCATTGCCTGGCAAAGAGGGAGAGCTAAACAAAACGCGGGGCCACTGAGAACCCCAACGCAGGCAGTTCTTGTCTTCTGGACTAACTTCCTAACCAGCCCTTCGTAACATCCTTATCTAAAAATTAAAACAACTACTTCAAATTGAAATCCCAAAGACCTAGCTAAGACTGACAGAACATCAATGTGTCAATACTGATCACCACAGGCAATTAAAAGTAGCAACAATAAGAAATATTTAAAGAAATCAAGACAGGAACTCCACGAGGAGAACAACAGAGCCAAAACATCTGGGCCCAAGGGGCCCTGCAGAGACCAATACTCCAACCAAGGACCTTGCATGGAGATAACCCAGACCTCCTGTTCAGAGGACGCCCACTTAGTGTCCAAGTGGGTTCCCTAGAAAGGGTTACATGGGCTGTCTCTGACATGAACTCAGTGGCTGGCTCTTTGATCACCTCCCACTGGGGGGTGCAGCTTTGTCGGACCACAGAGGAGGATGATGCAGCCAGCCTTGATGAGACCTGATAGGCTAGGGTCACATAGAAGGGAGGAGATCCTCTCCTATCAGGGGACTAGGGAAGGGGCAGAGGGGGAGAAGAGGGAGGGTGGGTGAGACTTGGAGATGATGAGAGAGGGGGCTGCAGCGGGGACACAAAGGGAATAAACCGCAATAAATAAATAATTAAACAAATGAGTAAAATTAAAAAAAAAAAGAAATCAAGACACAAGGTCACCCATATACAAATGCAAGGTCACCTATCACAATACGACACTAGACAGCAGTGCACAGTGTTAACCAAACCGCTTTCATAGAACTGAAAAGGAAGCAAACTACTATATTCAAAGAACTTGTGCTGGAACTTGGTGTAAACATAGTCCAAGAAGGACACCACACATTTTTATTATCTATATGCAACTGCATCATTTTACACTCTGCATGTTAGTGACATCATCTCCCAAGAGGATCTAAAAGAAAATCCTTGTGGCATGATCACGTTTGATCCCTGACGTTTAAACACCTTTTCCAGAGGCAAGTTTGGAAGTGGTGGTGCATGAGATGCCATCAGCTACTTCTGCACACCAAAGTTTTCTGATGTCTCTGCTACTGCATTTCTCCCCACACTATTGGGAGTTGAACCTAGCACCTCACTAGTCATAAACTAATCACACCCTGAGCTACAGTATTTGTTCATTATTTAGCAATCTAGCCTTCAACCTGAAACCTCCAAGGAGCTGGGATTACAGGTTTGGGCCATTAGGCCTTGCAGGAGAGATGTCTTAGTAAAGACTGAGCTCAAGCACTGTCCATTCTCCACAAAGACTATATAACCCATTACCTTCCAGGCTACTGGGATCCAGCCCCAGCCTCGGTGCTGGGGACCAAACCCGAGACCTCACACACTAAAGCATTGCAGCCAACGGCTCTGCCTGTAGCTCTTGATTCCTGGTGGCCCAAGGGTTCTTCACAGATCACAGCCCACCACATTTGTAGAGCCATTTGAAGAGACTCCTTTAAAAGAACAAAACAAAACAAAAACTCTATTTCTAATCCCGTGACCATGGCTCTCACCTTTGATCCCAGCACTCGGGAGGCAGATGCAGGCGGATCTCTGACATCATGGCCAGCCTGGTCTACAGAGAGGGTTCCAGAATAGCCAAGACTACACAGAGAAACCTGGTCTGGGGCGAAATAAAAACGTCTATTTCTAGATACATTCATATTTTTTCTCTACAAATACAACATTGGAATTTCATAGGCAAAGTAGATAGCTAACACACTTTAAAATTTGCTAATTCTTGGAACCGTGCCACCAAAGCTTGCCACATCTCTCAATAAAAGGCCAAAGCACTCTGAGCTTTCAAAGGTACCTGGTTAATTATAACTCAATCCCTGAGTGGCTCCACGGGCTACTTCCTCTAGGCAGAGTTCTGATTAGACAGTCAAGCAAGAGTTCCACACAAGGAACATGGTGCTATATGCCTGCCATCCCAGCACTCGGGAGGCTGATGTAGGATCATGAGCTCCAGGGCAGCCTGCCTGGGTTTGAGCAATACAGCAAGACCTTGTCTCAGACCAACAAAGCAGAAAGAGTTATACATGATATATTCCTAACTTTGAAGAAACAAAAAGCATATCTGTCTTTTAAGTTACTTCCAGAATTTAAAAGGTAAGTTAAAAAGACATGTTTCTGTGGGGAGTACAGTTTTAATTCTCCTTTCGTGATAAACCAGAAAACTGGAACAGGAGATTCATCTTAAAGCCAGATTCCTAATTCATTAAAAATCATTAATACAAGAAAATAGTCATTAATAATTAAATTGATCTTAACAACTATTATCATCATTCAACAAAAAAGGAATTGGAAGCAGGTGGCTGCACATACCCCCAAATCAGGAAACGAAGGCAGGGGCACGTCCAGGGGTCGAAGGCCAACCTTGGCCACATACTAAGTACCACACCATCCAAAGCATAACAAAACCTCAAAAGATGAAGGAAACTGGCACTAAGAAACATTAAAACACTTGCCCAAAGAAACAAGTCTAGCCAGAAGCAAACTCTTCTTAACCATTAATTGATTAGTGAGCACAATATATGAATAATCATTAATTTAAATTATTTAAAACAGGGGTGGTGGTCAGCAACCATTTATCAAAAAGTTCTTCGAAATGTCTCGCTAGATCCCGTGGATATAGCATTAGGACTCCGGCTTTCGTGAACTAAAAAATATCTGCTTAAGTCTCATCCTGAATCACTTGTTTCTCAACAATAACCTTTTCTAGTAATACCTCCATTGTCTACACGTCAGTGTGTGAAGAATATGGCTCAGAGAAGACTACAGCTTCCAGTCTCCCGGGCTCGTCTAGGTTCCCTCCACTGGCCAGCCCTCGCAGGAGGCTCACACACACACACACACACACACACACACACACACACACACACACACACACGGACGAGGATACACAAAGTGAAAGACAGCCTCCTTAAGACAACTGGTTTTTAATCCCAGCTGCCAAAGCTGTGGGGAAAGGATGTGTTCTGGGGTTCTAGCTTACAGCCCCAGGTTACATCTTGAGACCTGAACCAGGCCTGGCCTAACTGAGATCCAGCTGTCATGGAACCCAGAAGGCATGTCCACCTTGGGTTTCTAATTCTTTTTTTTTTTTTTTTTTTTTAAGATTTATTATTTATACAGCATTCTGCCTGCCTGGGCACCAGATGGTTATGAGCCACCATGTGGCTGCTGGGAATTAAACTCAGGACCTCTAGAAGAACAGTGAGTGTTCCTAACTTCTGAGCCATCTCTCCAGCCCCGTGTTTCTAATTCTTACTCCCAAAATCTATGAGCACCATGACACCAAGTTTAGAGTGGCAGCCACAGTAAGTTGAGTATAACGAGGCTCCTGTATGGGAAAACTTCAGATTCTCTTATTGCTCTTGATAAACGCGCTTATCAAATAATAGGAACCAGGAAACAGGAATGTTTCCATCTACATCTTACACAAATGCCACTCTTTGAAGTGCCTTTCTAAGAATACCTACGAAATCTTCATGGAAGTTGTCTGCAACTCAATTCAAAACTAAGGCATCCCTCCAGCCCCTCTTCACCTAACAAGCTGTACTTCATTTGCTCACAAGGGCCCATAAGCCCTGCTATTATCTACTGTAATGTATCTGCACAGTAATTAAATCTCTTTCCTTTCCTAAATGGTAAAAGCTTCCATGACAGGGCTATTTCTTTCCTCTTTACTCTGTATTACTATGCCTGGCATATAAAGACACTCATTAAACTTTTGCTGAATAAACAAAACAAACCTTGTTATCTGGTATCCAAATCCACAGCTGATAAGATGCACAAAATTAGAAAAAGGTAATTGTTATTTCGACCGCACTTACACAAAATCCATTTTACAAAGGGTCACACTCTAGCTGGCAAGGTTGACAGGAGAGTGCTTGCCTAGCATGTCCAGGGTACCAAGTTTAATTCCTGGCATTATGAAGAGGTATATATTTAATTAAGTATATACACATATATATCATAATACAAAAAGATAAGGCTAACAAGATTATCATGTCATAAACCAGTAAAACACTATGAAAAGTCTACAAAATGAATTAAAAAGTAACTATCTTTGATAGTTGTCACTTGAAACCCACTGTTACCTTAATAAAATTGCCCTGATTTGTTAACTGCAAAGTCTGGTCACCAGGTCTCCCTTTTCTCTCCTTCCTTGATGCTTCCAGTCTCTTAAATATGTTCTTTCTCTACTGAAATATTAGCTATTAATATAATGAAATAATACCCCTCATTCCTAGGCAGCATCTTCAGGGATGGGAGTGTCCTTTGAAAATGGTGCAGGACTTGACTCAAGGCCATTAATCAATACTCCACCTCCAGCAGCACCATGCTGTACCAGAAGACAGAATCCCAGTGTTGGTGTTTTTGGTTTTTTTCTGACCTTATATTCAAACTAAGATTTACTCTGTAGTTCTTGATATCTTAGGCTACCTCTCCATTTCTTGGGTACTAGTGTCTTTCTGACTCACAATTCTTACACTGAAGTTTGTAGATTTACATTAAAAACAGAACTGCTATTTCTCGTGTCATCAGAAATGGGAATATTTCATTTCTTGGTATGAAATCAGGCAAAATTGTATTAACAAGCAAATGTAAGTTGTCTGTGGCTATTGATGCGTAAAATATAGTTGTTAAAAAAAAAAATGTGAGCTAGGTGGTGGTGGTACACGCCTTTTGTCCCAGTGGTTGGGAGGCAGAGGCAGGTGGATCTCGGTGAGTTCAAGGCCAGCCTGGTGTACAAAGTTTCAAGATGT